CTAAGTGAGGTTGTGCCCTTTCCAAACAAAGGTTGGCACATTGGATCATGGGGGTGATATCTGTGGCATACTCTCTGCAGGGTCAGCCCCTGCCTCAGGGGGTGCGGTGCCATTCTACAAGGAGCCTGTCAACCTCATGGGCTGCAATGATGGGGGTGCCGCTGGAGTCCATTTGCGAGGCGGACTCATGGTCTGTGCCAACCACTTTAATGAGGTTTTATAGAGTGAACATGGCTATGCCTCATCCTCTTCAGGGCATCCTGCAGCAATCACTGGCAGCATCCCACTAAGGTAGGTGCGGCTGCCGGGTTCCAATGGGTTGTTCCTTACTTCTGCATCCCTCGGGACCTAGTAGGCATACGTCATTCAGTGCTTGAAGCACCGCCTCTGGTGGTCAGTAGAGATGAAATAGAACGAAAGTTACATATGTAACCACAGTTCTATGACCGCGAGTGCGTTTGGTCCCTTGGTATCGCTGGCTCACGAGAAAATACGAGGGACTGAACTACCGGTTTCACGTGCCTATATAAGCTTCCGCTGATCACCGGTATGTCACAGCTGACTTTGTTGATACTAATTCTCGACTTGTGCAAGCGCAACAGTGAACATCAGTGCTTGAAGCACAACCTCTGGCAGTCAGTAGGGATGAAATAGAACTTGCCTCAGCCTCGCTCTGTATCAAGCAAACACACAGAACCCTCAGCAGATCCAGCTGATATTCATTAGACAGTCATTCAGCTCCAGACACATGCCAACACCCACTTACAGCTCCATACATACCTCTAACACATGCATCCTACCGCTAATGACAAGACAAAAAAATGCATCTGTGCCTCTACACTATGTTTTCAACATGTTATTCTGCTCCATGTTTGCACTGTAATTCTCGACCTGCGTAGTGCAAGAGTGAACATTCAGTGCTTGAAGCACCGCCTCTGGCGGTCATCCGAGATTCATTGAACCGTGGTTACATATGTAATTTATTCCAATATTTCTGTTGAACGGAAGTATAAAACCTATTACGTATGCAAGTCTATCTTTTGTACAAAGCTTCACAAAAAGATAAGTACAATAAACTTCCCTAACTGCAGTAAAGCTTGGATTCAGCGTGTTGAACAGATCCCAGCTCTCGACTTCGTGATTAATTTTTGGATGATCAATTCTGCCCTCAAGGTTTTGTATGATCAGAATAATGAAGATTGTGCTTTTATTCCACATTTGCATTCTGCAACATTACAGGTTTTCTTCAGCTCATTATACTTATTTCTAAGGAATGTCTTGTAAAGCTGGAATTTTGGGAACAGATTCAGGTTGCTTCAGTATATTTCCTGTAAATAATGGTGACTAAGTAGAGTTTGTTCTAACTCACCTCACTGTTGATTGAAACTTTTCCTCGTGAAGAAGATGAGGAGAGCTGCTGCTAACATGATGATCAGGATGGAAAGAATCAGACCCATAGAGCAGCAGATCTGCAGGGATGTTTATAGAAGAGTTTTTCTTCAACATTCAATAGAGGAATGTTGGTTCTCTCTGCCCTCCATGGATCTTCTCTCCATTGCCAATGTTTTCCCAGAAGCACTAATATCTCCAGGGTTCCTACCACCCTGAACACTGTCTGTTCTCCTTCCCTCCCTCAGGAAGAGCTTCAGATGCCTGAAGAGCAGAACAAAAAGACTGGAAACTGTTGGGATCTGGAGGCTGTGTCCATCTTCTCCACCAGAGGGCGTACTAGATCTCCTGGGGGCATGAGCTGACTGCAACACCTGTCTTCAATCTGCTCATCAGGAGGCTCCTACTTAAGGAGGCGGAGACTGACTCTCCAGTGCCAGAGTGTTTGCGAGTAATGGTACCAGCAAAACCTGAGCCAGTCTACCAGATCTTGCCTGATTCTTGTGAACCTGTCTGACCCTGTTTTCTCCCTGTCTCTCAGAACCTGACTTGTCTGGAAACCTGAAACACTGAAGAGAGAGACCTCAACCTGGAATCTGCCTGCCTGCACTCAGTTTGCCTCTGCCAAGCTCTCAGTTCTCCGCCTGCCTGCCCTCAGTTCAATCTCTGCTAGCCCTCAGCCCTCTGCCTGCCTACTAGCCTCTGGACCCTCAAGTTCCCCCCCCTGCTGATCAGTTCAAATTTCTAAGCAGGTATTCCCCCAATCATCTGATAAACAGCAGTTTACCTGGAACTCCTCTAACCTCTCTGTCATCCTCAGTGGAGATCCAGCCATGACCAGTCTGACCACCCAAGTTCCTGTTCACATTTTATTTACACCTTTTGTCAATAAACCTTTTGAACTTTCTCCTAACCTCCGTGTGTTTCTGCATATGGGTTAGACATCTAATCCCATCATGACAGAACACTCTGGCCAACAGACTAGCCCCGCGGAAGCACTTAAGAGGTCTTTGGGTCAACAGCAGGACCTTATTCAGAGTCCTGAACTCCGCCCTTCTCTTCCCGAAAAATTTTCTGGAGAACCAAGTAAGTGCAGAGGATTTTTGTTCCAGTGTACAAATATTTTCAACCATTTTCCTCAGAGTTTCCTACAAGATAATAGTAGAATTTCATTTATTCTATCTCATCTGACCGATAAAGCTTTGGACTGGGCGGAGGCTAAGTTACTTTCAAACACTGTGTTCAATCATTATGAGGAATTCATAACAGCGTTCAAACAAGCGTTTTATCAGGAGACTGATAAGACCCCTGATTCCCGTGGATTACTAGGATTAAAACAAGGAAACCGAACAGCAGCTGTTGGTTCCTCCCTGCCTTCTGCCTCCTCCAGGTGTAGGAACCGCCGCCGGGGCAAGAAGTCCACTCCCTCTCCGGTGGGTCAGCCTGACGCCTCCTCTCCTTCTCCGGCGGGGGGCCTGACGCCTCCACTCCCTCTCCGGCAGTTCAGCCAGCTGCAGGCCTCAGTCCCCATCCTCACCAGGTCAGTCTTTGTAAACACCTTCTCAACCAACAGTTAGCACCATCCACCAAAAGACTCAAATTTGGTCCACTAGTCACACCCCAAGCAGTCAGAGCTCCCCATATCCCTGAGCCTGCTCTGAGCCGTCCAGAGACCCCTGAGCCTGCTCTGTGCCGTCCAGAGACCCCTGAGCCTGCTCTGTGCTGTCCAGAGACCCCTGAGCCAGCTTGCAAAGAGGCTTCAGAGTTCGGGGTATGTGGAGGTACGCCTCCAAGAGTCCCTCAGCGGGCGCGCCAAGCCTCCATGAGCCCTCTGCGGGTGCTCCAGGCCTCCAGGAACCCTCTTCGGGCACTCCAAGCCTCCAAGAGCCCCGTGCGGCCGCTCCAAGCCTCCAAGAGCCCTCTGCGGGCGCTCAAGCCTCCATGAGCCCTCAGCGGGCGCTCCAAGTACCCTCGGAGGCTGCACCTGTGCCGCAGTGGGCGGCCCCCTCCATGGTGGTTCCTGTGCCGCAGTGGGCGGCCCCCTCCATGGTGGTTCCTGTGCCACAGTGGACGGTCCCCTCCGAGCCTGTTCCGGAGCCGCAGTCGGCGGTCCCCTCTGAGCCTGTTCCGGAGTCGCAGTCGGCGGTCCCCTCTGAGCCTGTTCCGGAGTCGCAGTCGGCGGCCTCCTCCGAGCCTGTTCCTGAGCCGCAGTTGGCGGCCTCCTTCGAGCCTGTTCCTGAGCCGCAGTCGGCGGCCCCTTCTGTTCCTGTTCCTAAGCCGCAGTCGGCGGCCCCTTCTGAGCCTGTGCCTGAACCGCAGTCAGCTGTTCCCTCTGTTCCAGTTCCTGAGCCACAGTCGGCGGCCCCTTCTGAGCCTGTTCCTGAACCGCAGTCGGCGGTCACCTCTGAGTCTGTTCCTGAGCCGCAGTGGGCGGCCCCCTCTGAGACTGTTGCTGAGCTGCAGCAACGGAGACGTCGTCCTCTTCCGAGGTTCCTGCAGCAACGGAGATGTTGTCCCCCTCCGAGGTTCCTGCAGCAACAGAGACGTCATCCCCCTCCGAGGTTCCTGCAGCAACGGAGACGTCGTCCTCCAAAGACCCTCCTTTGCGCCTGATCCATGGCCGGCCTCCAGAACGTCTGCCTCGTCTCCGGCCCCGTGGCCGGCCTGCAGAGTGTCTGCTTCGCCTCCGGCCCCGCGGCCGGCCTCCTTAGATTCTGCCTCGCCTCCGGCCCCACGGCCGGCCTCAAGAGACTCTTCCTTGTCTGCCTCCAGAGATTTTTTTTGCCCTCGCCCACCGTGGGTGGGTTGTTTTTGTTGTGGACTCAGTTTTTGTGTTTTCTTGCCCTCCTTGCCTGGTTCCCCCTCCGCCCACCCTGGGTGGGTTGTTTTTTGTTGTGGATTCAGTTTTTGTGTTTTCTTGCCCTCCTTGCCTGGTTCCCCCTCCGCCCACCCTGGGTGGGTTGTTTTTTGTAGTGGATTCAGTTTTTGTGTTTTCTTGCCCTCCTTGCCTGGTTCCCCCTCCGCCCACCCTGGGTGGGTTGTTTTCTTTTGTTTTTCTTGGACTTTTCTTGGGACGTCTGGAATCCGCCCTTGAGGGGGAGTACTGTTGGGATCTGGAGGCTGTGTCCATCTTCTCCACCAGAGGGCGTACTAGATCTCCTGGGGGCATGAGCTGACTGCAACACCTGTCTTCAATCTGCTCATCAGGAGGCTCCTACTTAAGGAGGCGGAGACTGACACTCAGAGCCAGTCTACCAGATCTTGCCTGATTCTTGTGAACCTGTCTGACCCTGTTTTCTCCCTGTCTCTCAGAACCTGACTTGTCTGGAAACCTGAAACACTGAAGAGAGAGACCTCAACCTGGAATCTGCCTGCCTGCACTCAGTTTGCCTCTGCCAAGCTCTCAGTTCTCCGCCTGCCTGCACTCAGTTCAATCTCTGCTAGCCCTCAGCCCTCTGCCTGCCTACTAGCCTCTGGACCCTCAAGTTTCCCCCCCTGCTGATCAGTTCCACTTCTAAGCAGGTATTCCCCCCATCATCTGATAAACAGCAGTTTACCTGGAACTCCTCTAACCTCTCTGTCCTCCTCAGTGGAGTCCTCAGTGGACGTCTGTTTAATGTCATTTTTCAGAAACAATTAGAAAAGATTTCTTCTATCAGTCAATAAATTTTAGCCAAACTGAGAAAAACAATATTACAAATTAACTCTTTTGTAACCAAAGTAAAACTGTCCTGTATGAATTATGTTACTTTTTCTTTTTTTTTTTACTTCAAACAATGTTCCTCATTTGTACTTTGAGCTCTGATTGTTTCAGAGTTTAGTTCAGGTCTAAAGTGAAGATGTTTCCTTAGCAGATGGTTTGTTCTGTTTGTCCTCCTTTGATCTCCCCCCTCTATGGGTTGGTCTGCAAGAAGAGGAGGAGGAGGAGGAGGAGGAGGAAGATTTGAATAACTGAGACAGTTTTATAAACACTGATGAAACTCAGGTGTTTGATAAAGATTCAGATTCACCTGAGAGATTTCACTGAACTCTGTTTCCACAGCAGGACCTGAAAAACATTCAGATCAGAGCTGAAACTGCTGATTTCAAGAGATTAGGAGATATTCCAGGAACTAGAAACAAAATCCTAGAACACGTGTTCAGTATCAGGCTGATCTGCTCGTCTGTTCCTGTTTGGCTGTGACTCCATCCTGGAAAGAAACATAAGCTGTGCTGCTTCCATCAACACCCTTGTTTATAGATGCTGGAGATCGGCCTGTTTTCCAGTGTGGTCCTGTTTCTCGACCGTGACTGGCTGGATGTGCTCTCTTCATCCTCTGACATGGGAGCTGGCTCGGAGCTCGTCTGCCTGGCTGTGTGTTTCCTGGACGGGGCCGCCTTTTACAGCTGTTTTTTGTTTCTCTGCTTGTGTCTCCTTGAACCCCAGTCGGCCTCGGCAGATGGCCGCTCACACTGAGCCTGGTTCTGCTGGAGGTTTCTTCCTGTTCAAAGGGAGTTTTTCCTCTCCACTGTCGCTACAAGCATGCTTAGTGTGAGGGATTTTATTTGAGTCAATGAGTTGATGCAATCAGCTGGTTTTCCTTAGATAGAAAACTTTGTATCAATTTGACTGTATGATCTGGTTGAACTGTAAAGTGCCTTGAGATGACATGTGTTGTGAATTTGGCGCTATATAAATAAACTGAATTGAATTGAATTGCTGATTTATGCTCAGAGCAGATTTTGATCTGAAGCAACAAACAGAAATAATCTGCAGAAATAACTGATTATTATTAAACTAATGTGGCTTGAAAATTAAGATTTCTCTTATATCCTATATTGATTTATGCTATTTATCCACTGAAAAATGTTTTCACTCAGTCTGTTTCACCTGCAAGGCCACAAAATGTCTGCGTGAGAGGTGCTTTGCATACCAGGAATACTTCTTCCTATAAGAAGCCCGATTCTTTCTCAAGGTTTATTCATAACATGTTACTGTTTAACCAAAGTGTCAGTGATTTGTTTAGACTATAACTAGTTTAAGTTAGTGAGTCAAACGCTGGCATGATGAGAACAGGGCTGATTACCGTGCAACAAGGAGGGTATGATGAACTGTTCTCTCTTTGCAAAGATACAATAAAATGTTGACTGAGTGAAATCCATCCATCTCTGTTTATTTAACTGGAGTAAATAGCTGAATACTTTTTTTCCCATGACACTAATCTTCAGATTCTTTGTTTATTGACGGTTACTTTCATGACCCTGGAGACCTCTGACATGTAGAGAAGGCTGACCAACACTGCAGAAAACATGGAAGAAGCCTTCATGGCTAAGAAGAGCTTTGGTATCGATGCTGTTTTTAAAGTGAGGAGAAAAAAAAAGCTGTTTAGTGTTTTGTTTTTCCTCACCTTTGCTTTCAGTGAGCCTCCTCTTCCTGCAGAAAATCACCAAAGGTGTTGAAAATAAGATGATCTTGGCGACCAGAGACAGAAGCACATAAAGCAGCAGACCTGCAGGGATGTTTATAGAAGAGTTGATTTAGTTTATCCCATCAGCTGCTCTGTTCCTCATAAACAGGCCATGTGCATTAATGTTCCTCCTTCATCAGCTGCTGATAAAAACAGAAGGTTTCTCTCCTATTGAACTCAGAGGACACAGCTTCTGCTGTCAAAGACCTTCAGAACATTCTGCTCTGATCAGATGCTCCATGCTTTATTGGCTTTTATTCGCTCTGATACAAATTAACTCAACATTAGACTCTCTGACCCTGTTAACTTGAACAGGTCTGAGCCTCACTGATGAACAAAGCTGGACTTTAACAGACCCAAATCATCTCCTGAACATCTAAACATGAACAGATAATGTACCTGAAGCTGCAGCTGGTTTCTCAGAGACTCTGCTGGTTTCAGAGGAGGATGGAGAAGGTGAGGAACTCAGACTCTGTGTTGTTGTTGTTGTTGTGGAGGCTGCTGGGAGAAAAGTTGATCTAATAAAAGGTCCCAGAGTCCATTTTGGTTCTGAAGAATCTGAGGATGTGGAGATTAAACAGAATAAGAACAACTGAGGTCAAATTTTACATTCTTCTTGATTTTATGATCCATGTTTGTCTTCATGAGTCACAGTTTGAACATGTTGGTCTTTAAAGTAGATCTGTTGAAAATCTGAGTGAAAAGTTTAAAAACAGAAAAACTCACCTTCAGTCACAGAGAGAATAAAATCATCATATTGAGTTCCCCTCCATGTATCGGAGAGACACCAGTACCGTCCTGAATCTGACTTTTTCAGCTTTGTGATGCTCACATGCAGATAATCATATTGTAGCTTCCCTCTCTCTTCATATCTAATGCTGTATCTGTTTTTTGTAAACATGTCTTCAGTCGTATTAATCAGAATATTTCCTCCTTTACAGGTTTCCTTACAGAGGAACCTCCTGCTTCCAGAGTTCTTAAATTCACATCTAACTGTGATGCTTCCTCCTTCCTTTCCTCTGTAGGTTTCCACAGTTTCTCCATCCTGCAGAGCTGCTGAGGAGATAAACAGTCAGTAGTTACTGTCAATGTTTAATATAATATAGTTGAAATCTAGTTATAAATGAACCTGGATGCATTAGAATAAATTCACATTGAACCCAGAGTCTCAAACCAGTTCAGCTAAATTCTCTAAATAACTGTTTGGATCAACAACCTTCTGGTTTCTTTGACAGCTGATAAAATCTCCTCTGAGGACGTTTATAAAGTGAAGCTTTGGAGAAATAAAACATTTATCTGCTTTGTTTCTATTAGGGTGGTTTTAGTGTCTCAGCTCTTGTTGGGTTACTTCTGCTCTCATGTTTCTACTCAACTGGTCTAAATATGATGAAAATAAGAAGTTTCGTCTGTTTCTATAAATAGTCTGAGCTGAACAATAAACACTCTGAGCTGCAGAGCTAACCCTAACTGACAGTTTAGTTCCTCTATATTTAATGTAAGTTTATATATTTCTTTTCTGTTCTTGCATTAAAATCATCAGAGTTTAAATCCTGAGCTTTCAAACTTCAGCGTATCTCATCACAAAGATCAACAGAATGAAAAATTTGAGGAAATATCAGAGTTCAGATTAAAACTGATCAAGAAGCAAGAAAAAAATTTCTGATCAACTGTGAGGATTTGAAAAGATGAAGGACTGAGAGAAAATAAACTGATAGAAATAAAAAAATTTACTCACTGAGGAAGAGGATGCAGATCAAAGTAGAACAGACCTTCATCCTGAGCTGCTGATGGTTTCTAACTCTGCTTCTCTTCCTCTTTCACTGATAAACCAGGAACTTCTCTGAAGGATGGAGTTCCTCCTCTGACCACTAGAGGTCAGTCTCCTTGATGTGTTTGATTTGATGTCTCATTAGTTGATATACACTATATTGCCAAAAGTATTTGCTCACCCATCCAAATTATTGGAATCAGGTGTTCCAATCACTTCCATGGCCACAGGTGTATAAATTCAAGCACCTAGGCATGCAGACTGTTTTTACAAACATTTGTGAAAGAATGGGTCGCTCTCAGGAGCTCAGTGAATTCCAGCGTGGAACTGTGATAGGATGCCACCTGTGCAACAAATCCAGTCGTGAAATTTCCTCGCTCCTAAATATTCCACAGTCAACTGTCAGCTGTATTATAAGAAAATGGAAGTGTTTGGGAACGACAGCAACTCAGCCACGAAGTGGTAGGCCACGTAAACTGACGGAGCGGGGTCAGCGGATGCTGACGCGCATAGTGCGAAGAGGTCGCCAACTTTCTGCAGAGTCAATCACTACAGACCTCCAAACTTCAGATTAGCTCAAGAACAGTGCGCAGAGAGCTTCATGGAATGGGTTTCCATGGTCGAGCAGCTGCATCCAAGCCATACATCACCAAGTGCAATGCAAAGCGTCGGATGCGGTGGTGTAAAGCACGCCGCCACTGGACTCTAGAGCAGTGGAGACGCGTTCTCTGGAGTGACGAATCGCGCTTCTCCATCTGGCAATCTGATGGACGGGTCTGGGTTTGGCGGTTGCCAGGAGAACGGTACTTGTCTGACTGCATTGTGCCAAGTGTAAAGTTTGGTGGAGGGGGGATTATGGTGTGGGGTTGTTTTTCAGGAGCTGGGCTTGGCCCCTTAGTTCCAGTGAAAGGAACTCTGAATGCTTCAGCATACCAAGACATTTTGGACAATTCCATGCTCCCAACTTTGTGGGAACAGTTTGGAGCTGGCCCCTTCCTCTTCCAACATGACTGTGCACCAGTGCACAAAGCAAGGTCCATAAAGACATGGATGACAGAGTCTGGTGTGGATGAACTTGACTGGCCTGCACAGAGTCCTGACCTCAACCCGATAGAACACCTTTGGGATGAATTAGAGCGGAGACTGAGAGCCAGGCCTTCTCGTCCAACATCAGTGTGCGACCTCACAAATGCGCTTCTGGAAGAATGGTCAAAAATTCCCATAAACACACTCCTAAACCTTGTGGACAGCCTTCCCAGAAGAGTTGAAGCTGTTCTAGCTGCAAAGGGTGGACCGACGTCATATTGAACCCTATGGATTAGGAACGGGATGTCACTTAAGCTCATATGTGAGTCAAGGCAGGTGAGCAAATACTTTTGGCAATATAGTGTATATACCTCTATATTGATGATATTGACAGTTGGTTCCTTCATGGAGACACTGATGTCGTCATCAGAGGATGAAACTGGGCTCAGTGCAGAATGAAGCTGCTGCTGCTTGAACACAGAGAGACGTCAAAGAGAGAAACTAATCCTGCTGTTAGGATCCAATGTTTCTGAGACAAAAATAAATCATTGAAATCATGTAAACTAACTTTATAATCATCATCACAACTCAGTCAGTTACAGGATTTATTATTTTGGTTTATAATAATCCAAGTTATTTTTGGCCGTTGTAAAAGAAAAAGAAACAAAATAAAAAATTCTTCATATTCTGAGTTAGAAAAAAGATCTGCTTTAGATGTTTGATGATTATAGAAATAAATTTTAACATTTCCTCTTTTGACTTAATGTTTCTGTTTGAGTTAAGGTCTGATGTGAAAAATTTTAATAATTGTTCATATTTGAGGCTGTGCTGAAATAAATGAAACAAAACAAGCTAATTTAAACCATTCAATTGTTGGCTGTATTGAAAAGGGTGAGGAGAGTGAATACAGGACTGTGGTGGGCAACTTTGTCACTTGGAGTGAGCTGAACCACCTGCAGCTCAACGTGACAAAGACTAAGGAGCTCATAGTGGATCTGAGGAGGACAAAATCACCTGTGACCCCCGTTTCCATCCAGAGGGTTCCTGTTGACACTGTGGAGGAGTATAAGTACCTGGGAGTGTACTTTAACAATAAGTTGGACTGGACTAGAAACACCGAGGCGGTCTACAAAAAGGGCCAAAGCTGACTATTCTTCCTGAGGAGGCTGAAGTCCTTTAACATCGGTGGGACGATGCTGAGCATGTTTTATGAGTCTGTTGTTGCTAGCATGCTCTTCTTTGCTGTCACATGCTGGGGCACTGGGCTGAGGGTCGCTGACAACAACAGACTGAACAAACTGATCAGGAGGGCCGGTGATGTTGTGGGGGAGGAGCTGGACACCCTGACCACCGTGGCAGAGAGGAGGATGCTGTCCAGGTTTCAGTCCATCATAGACAATGACTCACATCCACGACACACTGGTCCAGCAGACGAGCTCCTTTAGTAGAAGACTCCTCCTACCCAGATGCACCACAGAGCGCCACAGGAAATCATTCCTACTGTCATGATCGGTTTAATGAGCTAAACCCATATGCAGAACACCAACAGGAGACAGAGTAAAAGTTAACAAATTTTATTAAGGAAATGTACAGAGTAACTCAGGACTGGTTCTGGTGCAGGTCCGGGACTGGTTTCACTTATTTCTGGAGAGATGTGAGTTTAGTTAGCCAGGCAGTTAGATGGTTTGACGAGAGAGTGAATTATGAAAGTACCTTGAAGAGGTTCAGACAGATCCTTGGAATGGGGAACCGGTTGGGTCCAGAGATTGTGGGAGTTGCAGAGAGCTCAGCAGCAGCAGCGTCTAGCTTCTGGCTAGTGAGTCTTAGCCGTGGGTTTTGTTCCTAGCTCTTCCCTGAGAGCTGAGGGAGGAATCCAGACTGAAATCTTCAGGTTAGCTTCCTAGCTCTCCCCTGAGAGCAGAAGGAGGAATCCAGACTGAGACCTTCTGGTTTGGCTTCCTTGGGCAGGCAGGCAGGTTTCCAGGTAAAGCTCATCCAGAGCTTCAGACCTTGGTCAGGCTTTCTGTAAGTAGAGAAGATAGAGGCAGGTTAGAATTCAGTTGCTCTCAAGAGTCTACTGAAATCCACTAGATAAACAGAGGCTAGGGTTTGCTTACCAAACTTGGTCAACACTGCGGCGTCGAAGGAAGGTCTGACTGCTGCTTATGAAGGAAGGTCTCCTGATTGGCTGATGAGCTTCAGGTGTGCTGGAGGCTCCAGCCCAGGAGACCCACAGCGCTCTCTGCTGGAGACAGATGGTAACTCTCCAGATCCCAACAGTAACCCCAGTCCTAACAGAAAACAACATAAAACAGAAGAGGATCCTTGGCGCCCTCTGGTGGGCAAGCCTAAGGATCCCAACACCTACCTGTGGTCATCAGTCACTATAACGCCACCCTCAAGTGATTCAGAATCCCCCACCCGTAATTGACATTTATGCACTATTTTTGCACGCCACGTATCACTTTACTTGGATTTATCACTTTACTTGGATTTATCACTTTACTTGGATTTTCACTTTTTTTGGATTTAGTTTTTACATATGCATAGATATACGTACAGATATATATACAGAAGAGCTATGTGTATATATTTTATCTCTTTTTATTTTGATTCTTATTCTTTTTTTTTATCTTTATTATACTGTATAGTTGGATGTGTGTATATATTATATAAAACTGTAACTGGAGCGTGTAAAAAAAGTAATTTCCCTCTGGGATTATTAAAGTATTTCTGATTCTGATTCTGATTCTGAGAATCCAAGCTGAGATCAGGCAGAGTTACTCTCACCTAACAGCTCGAATAATCTGGCACTGATGGTAAGATAACAGGCAGCATAAATAGCAGTAGGAACCAGGTGGACAAAATGAACGTAATGAGCCACTGGGCTAATTAGACGGGTGAAAAGAGGAAATGATAATCCACACCATGAGACAATGACAAATATGTTAACTAAAATTTTGAAATGTTAAAATAAATTTAAAAAGAAATGTGAGAGAGAAATATTCAAAAATCAATGTACCTTTTCATCTGGGTCTTAATCGAAAAACAAACAGTATGCAATTAAATATTTGCTTTGGATATATTTTAGGTTGCTTTTGGTGGAAATTAAAGTGAGCTGGATAAAATAAATATGCTTGACAGAGGATGATTAGCCACATATTGTTAGGAATCCAGTTTATGTGGGTTGTGCTTTTGTTTGTCTTCCCTCCACCACCAGGCGGCGTCTGGTTCTCGTCGGCCTCCTCACACACCTGCGGATGGTTGCCTCATTACCGGAGCACTCTTAAGCTGCTGACTGCCTCTACCTCGACTCCAGAGTGTTTGCCAGTTTTGGGTACTCTAGCCAAGATGAGTTTGCTGAGTCAAACTGAGTTTTTGTCTACCTGAGTTTTAACCTTGCTGTTTTTGTCTTCGCCTCTCGGCAGGAAGTCATCGTGCAAACTGGATGTTTTGGAACTTCTCACCCCTGGAAGGATTCTCTGAGTATCAAGCTGAGCTGAGGATTCAAGCTAGTGGTTTGGATCTGCTGACCTTTCCCCAAGGATTGTTTTGGGTCTCCCTGAGCATGGTTTTCATCTCCACAAGAAACCGTTCAAGTACCGCAGGAAAACCAAGTGGCAGTCAGCTCCTCTGTTCCTCAAGGAAATACCGCAGGCTGGGTAAACCCTGTCCGCCCTCCAACGAGCAAGTCATTCACTGGAACAACCCACACCGACTGGATTCAACAAGAAACACATTTTTCTGGAAACGTGAGTCCTGTTGCCTTAATTCCCTTCTTCAAATCGAAGACACAAATTTCCCACTGAGTCTAAACTAACCGCAGAATCTTCCCCTTCACTTTTCATTCCCGGTTCGACAGTGTTCAGAGCAGCACTGGACTCCTCTGAACCTACTCTCAATAAAACCTGTTAAACTTTTCCCTGGTCTCTCTGTTTGGTCTTCTGCATGCGGGTCAGAGCTTTAGATAAAATCATGACAGAACACTCTGTCCAAAACATTGACCCCGCAGAAGCCATTCAGAGAGCCATTAACCAGC